TGCAGGGGCCTGGCCATACATGAGAATATTTTAAGAAAGAGCTTATCTTAAAATCACAAGGAACACTTACAGTACTTACAATTGAAGGATTTTGTTCTGCCACATATGCTATTACATATACTCTACATATTCTGATAAAAGATTCACTGAGTAAATCCTGTGTTAAGATTTCTTTCTTAAGAGTAGGCTATGGGGGCCTCCCTAGTGGCGCAAGGGGTTATGCACCGCACCATGAAGCAATCCACCACCTCTGCAGCAGGAGTTCGATTCCCCAATCCCCGGCCTGCCAGGGAGCAACCCATATGGCGCAGCAGACCTCTCCTGTCTCACCCGCTGCTCCCCTCAGCAGTGTATTTCAGTCAGTCTGCCTGTTCTGTTCCTCACTTTGTCTCTGGTGAATCCGGTCACCCCCAGCATCTCTGGCCTGTACCCCAGCTCTTGTATGCATAAATAAATAAATCTTAAAAAAAAAAAAAAAGAGTAGGCTATGGAACTTAAATTTCTAAATTCAGGGAATTTGGCATTTGGATCCAAAAAATGTTTATTTTTACTAATCTCCAGCAAATTCATCTTTTCCCTCAATTACGAATATAAAAGCAGTAGATTTAGTAGAAAAAATACTTTGTCATCAATAGAAATCACAGATATTTTCACATCCTATTATATGAGTTATAAATATCTTGAGATGTTTCAACCCATCTTCATTTTTAAATTATTATAGTTACAAGATCCACTGATACCGTAAACATTATTTATCGTAATAAAAAGCACAGACAGTGCTAGGCCACATTTTAAAACTATTTTGATAACTATATTTCAATGTAATTTATTTCCTTTGTAATTCTACATTTTTGTTTTCTTTTCTTCCATATAAAAACTTTATTCCAAAAAGCCAGTCCACAAGGTTTTACCACACTTCCGAAAGAGTCCATAGCACAAAAAAAGGTTAAAACCTCTACTCTTAGACCAATAAACAATCAGATCTAAAGACCAATAAACAATCAGATCTAAGGTAATTCTCTATAGACAGTTAAAACTACTTCTGTTTTCTTTTACATGCCTTACACTCATTTTGTTCTCCAGTACAGAGCAAAGACCATGTGCCACTACTTATAGCAGCTCTAATTTCAAAAGTGGTTTGCAAATAGTTATGAACGTGCTATAACAACCTAGCAGATCCATGGGTTCTCTGGCTCATTGGCAGTCATTCTAGTCCAAACACAAAGCTTCAGACTAATATAAATTTCAACTTTCAACAAGAAAGTAACCAAAAGAAAGGGAGAAAAAATGACTGTGATATATCTCACTATCTATCTCTTTTGCAAATAGTAAAACACAGGCAATTCAATTATTTATATTAATGAGGCAATGTATATAAATAAATGTAATGCTGTACTAAATAGATATATTTGAGGCCCAGTTGTTTTTTTTTTTTTTCTCTTCTGGAGTAGAACTCTGGCATACACAGCAAAATAGAGTATGCAAAAATGTATACTCCCTGGATATGCTGAGTTGCAGCAGGGGCATTTAAATTTTGCCACAAATCATTCATAAAGCAATTAACAAAACAAATAAAAATTTCAGACACATGTCCAGGTATTCAAGTGACAGGAATACTGTGAAAGGAGAAGTTTAACACTAGAAACAGAAAAGTTTATTCTTAGGAAAGGGGAAGTGCTAGTAAGTCATTCTTTGAGCAGTTAAGTAGCAGGAGAGGCCTGATCGCCTCACTCTCTCCTTCCTAAGTCACAGTTTTTCTAAGTAACTGACACAATACCATAAAAGATGTAAAAGCAGTCACATCTTAAGCAACAAAGAACTTCCGTAGTCCAAAGATGATTGAGGTCTAACTGAAAAAAATCCCCAATAAATCTGAAGAGAAGTGAAACCTATAAAATACAGTGTTGCAAACCAATAGTATCAATAATTAAATTATAGTAAATTAAGCTAATAAAAACCCCCAAAGTAATGCCTTTTTTTTTAAAGAGTTATTTATTTATGCATACAAGAGCTGGGGTACAGGCCAGAGATGCGGGGGATAAGAGGATTCACCAGAGACAGAACAGGCAGACTGGCCGAAATACACTGCTGAGGGGAGCAGCAGGCAAGACAGAAGAGGTCCGCTGCGCCATGTGGGTTGCTCCCTGGCAGGCTGGGGATCGGACTCGTGCTGCAGAGGCTGTGGATTGCTTCATAGTGCGGTGCTTAACCCCTTGCACCACCAGGGAGGCCCCCAAAGTAATGTCTTTTAGACAAATTTATTTCCAATCTATTTTAGGGTAACACACACTTGGTATAAGAGATACCTATTTCTATTTGATTCAGAAGGTAAAATTATCTCTATTAGTAGACAAGTCAGAAGATCTGGCTCTACATTTGAGTTATGCAAATATTTGTAAAGGTGTGAGGAAGGAAATTACTATTACAACTAGATATTTTATCATTACCTATCATTAATACCAAAAGCAAATTATTGTGCTTGCATTTTCTATAATATTCACAAATTCTCATCAGAGTTTATAACAAAGAGAGCTTATTCAGCTCCCTAGGGGAAATATGCTCTATTGGGAATCATAAATGAGGTCAAGTAGTTTACAAACTCCATGAGACTATACATAAAATTTGATGAGTATGCATATATTTCAGAATATTAAACAGCTATTTGGCCAGAAGAACAGTTACCTCTGCCATAGTTAGAAACTCTAAAACAAGAGAAAGCAGTAATTCCTTTCATAGTTACAGAGTGAGTCAGTGTTAACATCAGATAAAGTAACATGAGACTTCAGAATCCAAGACTCTGAGTAGATCATTCTCCTTAAGAGATCACATATCCAAAGAGAAGGCCCCCCCCCACAAAAAAAATTAAAACCTCACCAATTTATGGGAAGAGAAATCACAGGGTGAGGGAAGAATAAAGTTATTCTTTATCAGTCAGGCCATTATTCTGGCTTTCTAAGGGAATTTGCAAAGTAGGGTATGTCAAAAGAATCATTTCATTCAGCTAACACAAAGGACCCCAGAGGCAGTGCTGCAGTCCCCAAGCCAAAATGTCCTCTCTTGGAGTCAGTTAACTTGAAGCATATATTCTATTCTAGAAAATAAATTCTTGAGTATTTCCTTTTAGATATATAGAACTTAAGCCAAGTAAACATTTAATGTTCTAGAAAAAGGTCTAACAATTCATTTTTAGCTAAACAAAGACTATTCTCAATTTACTCCCGTTCAAGAATCTTTCTGAACGCTCTCTTCCCATCACAAAGTGTTTGTGTATGTAGGATTTGGAGTTAACTATTATGTTTATCAGCTAAAATGACCTCAAACTTCTCCTATTAGATATTTCTTTTAAAATATTGGGTGGCAAAGTCAGCAGCACCTCTACAAAGGGCTGTTAAGAGATGAGGAGGTAGTGAACTCACTTTAGTTCCTTTCATCTGCATCACTAACAGTCTTCATAAACAACTAAAACATCTGAATTATCCACAGCAGGGTTTCATTCCCCATATGCCAGTCACGGTCTCCAGTACACAAATCACTGAACTTGATAGTTAAATACATTAAAGTCCTTCCCATGTGGAATTCTAGTCACCATTGTTTACAATTCCAACATCATCCTTTCTTCTCTGTTATAGCCAAAATCTTTACTGTGCTAAATCTCATTCTCAACTAATACCTTTTACTAACAATTCTCTGTACTTGCAGAATCAGATTGAAAAGACCCTGAAGTTTGTGCCTTCCTACTCCCGTTTTATTCTTGGCAAAATGTTTCCTGCCTCTATCTTTAATTCCCTTCCCACGCCATGTTCCTACCATCCTCAAAACCTCCCCTTCCTCAACAGATATTCCTAGCAGATTTTCCTATCACAAACTCCTATATCCTAACTGCCTCTATAAATATCGCTGTCTCCATTTCAATATAAGTTCTGATTCTCCCAGATGAAATCCTGAGTTTCAATTCTCATAACTAATCACCTCACTTACACTCTGGAAACCTTTTCTAGCTAAGCCTGTGCACCAGTCATAGATCCAGTCTTCCCAACTGCATCTTTGTACTTCCAAACAGTTCACTGGTCATAAAGTCATGGCATTTCAGACCTGAAAGAAAACTCAGAAATAATCTGGTCCAATGTTTTTCATTTACATTTTAAAATATATGAAAGCCATTTTACTTCAGGATCTCATACATACATAACTGAAACAAGTTTCATGAAGCAATGCTTACTTATCCTTACCCTTACTTGTGTGAACTGAAATTTTCTATACTATTTTTTTTTATTTCATCCGGTGTCAAACATAAAATGGATTTCACAACCCAACAGGATGGAACCCATAGTTGTAGCAACTAATCTAGTGCAAACTCCCTTTCAATGAAGATAAGTGGTGAGATACGTTTCTCAACCACAAGAAGTCTGCCCATAAAATTAAATTCAGGTCTGGCAGGTAAATCCCAGGCCAGTGTTCTCTTGACTTAAAGACCTACTTTTTCCACTCATGGCCACTAAATCATACCCTGTGTCCAAACACAAGCCTACAGTACCATGTCCAGTCACTGTTACCACATTCTTCTCCTCAAAGTCATTGCTCCTTGGTCAGAGTCTCCTGCAGTTGCCGTTTCATGTTGCCTTAGGTCAGAGTCCCCACACGGTCATTATCCATCGATCCGTCTCCTCCGAGTCACTGGCCCTTGGCCACAGTCCCCTTGTAGTCACTGCCTCATACTTCCCCGTCGAAGTCCCCGTGGAGCCTCTGCCTCGGGTTCTCCGGGGTCAGGGGCTCCCTTTGCAGTCACTGACCCTGGGTCGCAGGCCCCTCGCAAACAGCTGCATCTCGGTCACAGTCCCCTCGTTGTCACCGCCCGTGGGTCACAGTAGCCTCGCAGTCTCCGCCTCACACTCCCCTCAGTATCACTGACCCACTCTCCAGCCAGTCACCTCGCGGTCCCGCCCCCACAGTTCACCTCTCAAACAGAGTCACACAAGGATATGCACGCACCCGGTCCTCACCTGCAGCTCACGCTTCCCAGGCCCCCGTCTGTTCGGATTTCTGCCGGGCGCCGCGTCACCGACAGGCGAAGTTGAGCGGGTTGCGGGGAGACGCCCGGGAAAGGCAGCTGACGGAACAGCGGGCCGGAAGTCCCGCCTACTGCCCTCTTTCTTGTCAATCCCGCCACGATTTCCCCCTGAAAACCGTGGCCCCGTGACACAGTAGTTCCGCCTCCACAGAGGTCTCGGGGATAGAGTGAGCAGAAAACGTCAGAGATAGGAAATGAAACGACGCAAGATCAGGCTCCATCTGGAACTGGAGTGTGCATTGAAGACGCATCCTCGTAGTGAAATGCGAAAGTGAACGGTAACGCGTGGTCGCTGGCAAACGGATCGAGAAGTGTTAACCCGGCAGTTCCCTTTTTGCTAGGCTCCAGGCTTAGTGCCTCTCTTGCTGACCTGTACGTCCTGTTCCGGCTCTACCCCCAGTGCCTGGCACAGTGCCAGGCACTCGTACCAGGATATTCATAATGTGGATGGCCGTGACACCTTCCGTGAAAGACCCCATGGCTCCAGCTTTTCCCTACTTGGTGAAGTAAAAAGAATTCACGTCCCTCCAACCAGGCAAAACCCTGTGAAAACCTGTAACTGGCCCCAAACCCTCTTTCTTCGTGTTATTTCTGACCCAGGTTGACTAATCAGAAAATGATCCCTAGGAATCAACTGAGTACTAGTTGAGCAGGAGCGGGTTCCGAGGGGAGGGGTGGGGGGAGACACCTGATAGGAAATCACACGTAGCAGGGTGTCTGGTGAAGAGAAATGTTTTCTTTTGCTAGAAGGAACCGTTGTAGGGCTGTTCCTTTTGGATTCCATACATACCCAATATTATGGAAGAAATGTGTAAAAGAACTTTTTAGTATATTTACTTGCACATTATTTTTTGTTTACAAGCTTGACTGGAAAGCAGCTAAGAAAGAGGGTAGGTAAACTTAGGCATCTGTGAGGAGCCTCCAAGGAGAAAAAGAATTTAAACGCGATCTTTTCCTTTTGAGTTTCAAATTGTTCTTCAAACAATACCTAGAGAATAAAGTGCTTTGAATAAGGACAGCTAGTTGAAGAAAATAATAGGGGCTCCAAGGGAACCTCACTTCAAAGATAACAGGTATTTGGATAGTAACCAAGGAAAGAATCTGGGAGAGTCTTAAAGAAGGGCTAATTTCATCAGAGCTTGGAAACACTCAGACCCTGTCACTCTCAACAAGCCCTGGAGAAACAGACACATTTAATAAGTTGTGTGAGGTTTAAGGTAGCAATAGCTGAGCAAAAAAACACTAGGTGAGAAATAAGGCAACAATTCAAAATGGGGGGGGGGACTTTATGCACAAATCATCTCAGTGTTATTTACAGTAGTGAAAAATTAGAAATAACCAGTCCCTCAGTAATGATATGGCAAAAACAATCAATGGTATAACCTTATGGTATCAGTGCAGCTATTAAATAGTATGAAAATCACAAAGCAAATAAAATGACATTAAAACTGCACATGACATTATAAGAAGTGAAAAATCTATATAGGGTTTTGTAAACACTGGGGGAAAAAAGGTAAACACTGTAGAAAATATAACAATTTACAGTTGGTTATATTTGAACAACTGAGTTATGAATTTGTCCCTACTTTTTTCTCTACATTACAAGTATAATAAGAACATATTATTGCAAAATCAAAACATTAAAATATAAGACCTAAAACTCAACAGATTCAGTTGCAAAACTGCCAAGTTTATTTTGTCAAGATATTTAACAATGTAAAAAAACTTTCATATTTCTTCAAATGGTCATATCTTTTCCCAGCTTTTCCAAGATTCAATAGTAGAAACAGCCAAAGGCCGCTACAACACAAAATAAACTGTCCTAAAAACAAAACAAAACAAACACACAAAGCCAAAAGGTTAGTACTAATAAGGGAACTAATGGCAGCACAGGCAATGGCAATTAACATCATCTCTGATCTTTACCAATTTTCAATCACAAAGCCTTTTCTTCTGCAAGAAACAATGGGTATCCAGAGTATAGCTATAAAATTGCTTGCTTAAAAGGGTAAGATGGATAAAGAATTAAATTTTCTGGGTGTAGAAATAAAATGCAAACTAATGAATTTTTATAAATTGCATTTATAAAATAAGTATTCCTATTTCTCCTGATTTATCAAAAAATAATATATGAAATGTTTTGAGTTCCACCCAAGAATCTTTGCAGCTAATAAAATTAATAGCACATTTTCATAAATTCTGGGTTAGGGCAAATGGTCTCCAGGTGTTAATTCTTTGTATCTCTTTTTTTCTCTCTTGGTTTTTTTCATAGCTGTGTCTTCAAGATAATGATTCTTCCAAATTGTTTATTCTATTTCTATGGCTTTTTCCAGAATTTTTTACCTCCTCACTGATCTTTTTACATCCTACAGTTCCTTCATTTTCTTAAAGTTTCATCCTTGATTTTGTTTGTAGATTGTTTCTCACAGCATCCTTTTCCTTTTCTGCTTTTCATGTAAATCTGATCTGTTTTTCAAATTATTTGGCTTTTTAATTATGGCAATTTTGAATTCTTCATCTGTCAAGCAGAAAATTTCTTCTGTGTCATTGTTTTAGGGTTCTGGAGACTGATTTTCTTTCTGTGGTATATGTTTCCCTGAGTGCTAGTTTGGCCATTTGTATTTTTCTTTTTCCCATTGTTTGCTTTCTGCTATAGATGGGGCGTCTGTAGCATGTGGGTTTCCCTCTCCCTCTATTCTAGGTGTTTACCTGCCTGAGGCGCTGGTTGTCCAGGTGGCTGAGGTCCGTGGGCAGGATTTCCTGCTTCTCTTACCTGGAGTGGGTCATCAGGATAGGTGTCTAGGCTGCTGGAGTCAGTGGTGTCTATATAGGCTTGCAGGGTCTCAATGGTGTGGTGAGGCCTTTGGCCACTCTGACTCACTCCCTGATGCCAGCAGGGAGTCTCACCAGTCAGTGAGGGTGCTGGCAGGAATCTCATGGCAAGTCACAAGGCCTTTGTAGGTGCAAGTGGAGCACTGGCAGTTGCCATAGAAGAAGGTCACAGGCTTCTGCTGGTCTAAGCAGACACTGTCTGGGTCTGGTCAGGGAGGGCACCAGTGGTCTCTCTCAACAAGTTACCTCTGCTGGTCTGGGCAGGCCTGCAGGTTCTCTCAAGAAAGGTCACAAGGTTCTGGCCTCTGTCGCTCCCTCCCCGAGGTGTATTCAAGGTCTCACATGTCTGTATAGAGGCTGGTGGGTCTCTTGGAAGTTGTTTATTTCCTTTTTTCTGGGTATTCTTAATCAATGAAATTTGTTGATCTTTTAGCTTAGAATCTCAAAATGCTTCCAGATCCCAGTTAAACTTGGTAAAACACTTTCTAGATTAGTAACTCTATTATTACAGGAGTTCCACTTGCATCAGCAATTCCTAACCCACCAATGTCACCTCAACCTTGGCAGAGAACTCAAGTATCTAATTACTAACGAAAAGTAAAATTCTTTGGTTAACCCAATTTCCTGGCTCTGTGAATGTGATAACTCTGATCTTTGTTTTACAACAGTGCCAAGTGTGGCAAGCAATCTGGTTTTGTTTTTTGAATTCCAGTCTGTCATGGAAAGATATTTTTGTAAAATATAAGAAAAATTAATAATTAGGAAAATAAAATGAAAAGAGAAAGATACAAACTGCCTAAACTTTTTATTATTAAATTCAATGGACATAAAATTACTTTATAAAATTCTTCTCAGAGTTTCTAAGCCCTTACACTCACTCTATGTACTTACCTCCAATCTGTAACAAACAGTTCAAGAACCGGCGCTGATACATGGACTCCACTTTGATAGGCACTGTTGTACAGCACCACCCATAGTTCTCCAGTGAGACTACACCCTGTTATCCACAGCAATTATCAGCTCAACAGCATATGCTTTTCTCTACCCTCTCTCATTTCCTCATCCCCTACTCATACTTCCTGGGACCTTCTCCCAAATAAACAAAGTGCTTCCTTTCATTATGAAAATGAAACTTAAATAAACTCAACAAATTGGACTATGAATAGACTAAATCAGCAACCTAGACCAGGTTCTCAAAAATTAATTTGACACCTCTCACACCAATCCTGTGTTCTTTTTTTTTTTTTAAAGATTTATTTATGCATACAAGAACTGGGGTACAGGCCAGAGGTGTGGGGGACGGTGAGAGGATTCACCAGAGACAGAGCCGGGACCAGAACAGGCAGACTGACTGAAATACACTGCTGAGGGGGGCAGTGGGCGAGTCAGGAGAGGTCTGCTGCGCCATGTGGGTAGCTCCCTGTCTGGGGATTGAACACGTGCTGTGGTGGCTGCAGATAGCTTCACAGATTACATCTTAACCCCTTGTGCCACCAGGGAGGCCCAATCTTGTGCTTGAACCCAATCTTGATAATCCTTATTAAGTAACAATTTATAACTAAAGTTTTTTTTTTTGTTTGTTCGTTTTTTTAATTAATTTATTTTTTTATTTATACAAGCACTGGGTACAGTCAGAAGCACGGGAGGGTGAGAGAATTCACCAGAGCCAGAGCAGGGAACAGAACAGGCAGACTGATGAAATACACTGCTGAGGGGAGCAAGCGGGAGCGGCAGGAGAGGTCTGTCGCGCCACGTGGGACCCTCACCAGTGGCCGGGGATCGAACCGGCACTGCAGAGGCTGCCAGCAGCTTCGCAGCCCAGCGCTCAACCGCTGCGCCACCAGGGGAGGCCCTATAACTAAAGTTTTTAATTACATATTTGTTCATATGAGTATAGTCTAGCTCCCACTAGGTTCTAGCTCTCTACAGGCAGAAATCATACCTGTCTTACTCCTTGTATCTCCAGTACAGAGGCTGGCATATAAGAGGAACTCAAAATTGTTTGTTGAATGAATGAATTACATAAGGACCCAGAGAAACATGTACTTTTAACTCCAAAAAGTAGGAAAAACCATCACCTTGACTTGATCCTTTCCCCAAAATGTTTATAAATGAAGATCTAAATAGTATTTTCCATTAGGACTTCTGTTGTTCGTGGAACCCCTGCCAATCCAAATTTCTTGCAGCTTAGCAAATGCTATATATCTATTAGCACTAAATAAACAACATGCTAGTCCTATCTGTACCCACACAAGTCTCCTTGCTTATAAGCAGCACACTCAGTATTCTGCTTTAGTAACACAAAAAGGCACAGTAAAGTCATCTCATCAAAAGGAGTCTGAGACAAATATCTAAAACTAAAGCATCCTCATATCTTAATAAATATCAAGGAATTTTATTTGGAATGCCCACATATCCTTTGAAAGGAAAAAAAGGTTTCCAAATAGACTTACATTCATGAAGACATCATGAGTGTAGTTGTCAGTGTCAGCATCCCAGAAACAGCGAGCAGCCATGCTAAAATGTCGAAGAATAAAGAATTGTCAACAATGTGCATATATCTGAGCGATACATGAGCAAAATTTTTCCTTTATACATTTTTATAGGTCAGTACTTCCAAATCTTTTCACAGGTTGGTACACAGAACATCTTATTTGTATAGCACAGTATCCTGGGTAAACTAGAAGGGATGGAGTCTGATAAGACAGCTTACAGTGGGCCTCCCCTGGTGATGCAGGCAGTTGAGCACCGCACTGTGAAGCTGTCCACAGCCTCTGCAGCGCCAGTTTGATCCCAACTGGCCGGCAAGAGTCCCACATTGCGCGGCAGACCTCTCCCGTCACGCCCCCTGCTCCCCTCAGCAGTGTATTTCATCAGTCTACCTGTTCTTTTCCCCACTCTGTCTCTGGTGAATACTCTCACCCTCCCACGCATCTGGCCGGTACCCCAGTTCTTGTATAAAATAAATAAATAAATCTTAAAAAAAAAAAGATAGCTTACAGCTAGTTGTAGGTGTCTGGCTTAGGGCTTTAGCAGCATTACCATGACTGGCTGTCTCACAGATCAAGACCTTCAAGTTTTTGATACTCTGGGTGGGAAGCTCTGCTGTGGATTACTTCAGGTAAGATATGTATGTGTGACTTTTGAAGGAAATAATAGATAAGACTTATGACTGAAATGGCTTCAATTCCTGCATAATAATACAAAAAAAGCAGGCCTAAAAAGGACCCTACCAATTATGTAGTGCAACCTGATAATTTCACAGAATTCTAGAAAACAAAAGGGCAATCTCTGAACAAATTCTAAATTAACTCTAAATCCACTATTACCTCTATAGGAATCTAAGCCATCAGTAAATTCTTAAATTGGCCATGCTCCTTCCCCCCAATTCTTGGGTAAAAAAAAAACAAAACTTAATCAAAATAAAAGTAATTTTAAAATGGGAACAACCTAAATGCCCAGCAGTACTGAACTGGTAAATAAAATTATGTTATTTCTTGGCAAAGAAATTCTATGCAGTCATTATAGACAGCTGGCGGGTTGGACACAGACAACACAGCTTTTCCCACCAGGATGGCATGATTAACTCTACCCCCAACACCACCCAAGCCAAAGGGGTTGAAGCTTGGCAGTATCATAGTCTGAAATTCACTCCTGACATACTGAGCAAGGGGGTTGTGGGGAAGGGAGAGAAGTAGAGCAGCCATTTGGGGAGCCTTTAAAAGGGAGTAAAGCATATGCACTCCCATTGGGACTGCTGCAAAGACAGCTGCCTCCCTGGTGGGGTGACAGAGGACTTCCCAGGGATAGAATGGAGGGCACCGCTACAGATGCAGGTCTGTGCCATATGCTGCCAGCTCCTGTAGCTGCAGCTCCACCTCACACCATTGGTCAGTAACTGCCACTTCACCTCTCCTTCTACGCTGTTAGTTAAAAATAAGTTTTTGTTTTTGTTTTTTTCTCCAAAGGCCCTGTTGTTTGCATTTGTGGCAGCAAGTGCATGGACTGAGAACCAGTGAGAGAGATTCTGACCTGGTATCAGTTTTTAGACCTTTTGCCCAGTAACAAAAAGGCTACAGAAGTTTAGAAAATTTAGAAAGGAGGGAAAAGTCAAAGACAATTTTATGAAGGACATCTTCTACTTAAGATGAGTAGAACAAAGTAACTGCATGAATATTAAAAAAAAATGACATACATTGAGTATCGTACATGAGCTACGTGCAAATGATACAAAGATGCACAAAATACAATCCTTGCATTCAAACTGTCGTCTCTTTACTGTTTCCCAATAAAAGGCACCAGGGCTTCTTGGAGAAATGGTCAATACCAGATCTTGTACTACAAATATACAAGATAAACCTAGGGCATCTGGAGCACACCAAAACCCTGGCCATATTAGAAAGGATGCTATATACACTATATATATATATGCCAATGGGACTCAGAAGTGTGATGAAACAGTTTGTAACAGGCTTATGCTCTCACCAAGATGAATTAGAAAAGCTGGATAAGATGCATCAGAGAGCTGCTGAAGCAAGGAGGAAGGACAAAGGAAGCCAAAATTCCAGAGTGGTAAACCGCAAGGAGGTAAGCTGATATCCTGGAGAGGACTTCTCCCTGGGGCATTCACTAGCTCTGGACACAGCTAGAGTCTGAGGATCTGGACTTTGCTTATGCAAGAATATTGATTCCTGAGGGGAAAAAAGGCCAGCAGGACTGCTAGCAGTCTTGCTGCACTAGGGAAATAAAACAGGAAACTTGAAAGACCATGATCCCTGTAGAAAAAGGAGAAAGTAGAACTGAGCCTGTCACATGGTAGGTTTTCCCCTCAAGGCATGTGCTGAATTCTGAAACTGTAAACAGGAACCTAAAAAGCTAAGTATGGCAGGCAAAATAATGGTCCCCCACCAAATACGTCTGTGCCCTAATCCCCAGAACTTCTGAACATGTTATATTACATAGCAAAAGAGGTTTTACAGATACATGATTTGAGGATGTGTTAGGGGGAAATGATGTCCTGAGCTAATCCCATACAGGCTTTGTGGACTCCACTCCCACTCCAGACTAAAGCCATCAAGACATTGGGAAAGACAAATCCCGTCACCACCAAAGGGAAGGTAGCTGGGACCTGAGGGTGGAGTTAAGCAGCCAGGTTGGGTATAAAAACCAAACACGTGGGCCTTGGCTAGCTCGCTGTCACTCATCTCCTGGCTTCATGGCTCCTGGCTTGCAGCCAGCTCTCAGAGTGCCATTTGGGATTCCAGATCGGTGGATTGGGTAGGACTCATTTAAAACTTTGTCTCCCACTTTTCTCCCTGAGCTGTACATTTCCTCATTTCCCCTTCCCTTGTAAATAAACCTTTTATTAACCTTTCGTGTGTGCCTGCAGTAGAGCATTGATAAGTCCTTTTAAGCGCGCGGGTGAGGACCCACAGTCAGGCACCCCGTTTTGTATCGGGGCTGCCCTATAACAGATGCAGAGATAAAGTATCCTGGATTACCCAGGTGGGCTTGATGTAATCACAAGAGACCTTGTAAAGGAGGGAGGGAGAAGGTCAGAGTCATCTATTTGAAGATATTTGATGATGCTATGCTGCTTGCTTTGAAAATGGAGGAAGAGTTTACAAGCTAAGGGATACAGGCAGCTTCAAGAAGATGGAACAAGGGAATAAATTCGTCCTCAGAGGCTCCAGAAGGAACACAGCCCTAACAAAACCTTGATTTTAGCTCAATAAAACCCATTTTGAACTTATATCCTCCAGAACTATAAGACAATATATTTGTAATGTTTTTAGCCATTGGGTTTGTGGTTTATTACAGCAACCGTAGGAAATTAGTACACTAAGGAAAAAGACTCTGAAATGAAGGCTTTCTATGCTGAGGAGAGCTTTTTATGTGTGGGTCTGCTACTTCTAGGCAGCCTATTCGGTCGCCATTTTGTCACCTAAATAAGGTCAAAGTGGTCCAGCCAGTTAGGAACAGGAGCCCAACCCTTAAGCCCTTCAAATCAAACAAGAGCACAAAGCTGGATCACACTGGGAAGGTTATGCATCACAAGGCATGTCCAAAATGCCCGGGGGGGGGGGGGGCTGAGGAACAATGCATAACACATACTCCAGATTTACACATCACGAGGTATGACCGGGAATGCCCAGGGGGCCGAGGACAGATGTACGAAAAGGTACCCCAGAAGCTGATCAGTGGAGTGCCTTGTTGATAAAATTAGAACCATGGCTGGGGATTAGGGTGTATCATCAAGTAGATTAGAAGTGCCTGGAGGGCAGACTCACAATTCCTAATCTTCTACACCCTTCCCCTTTCTTTAATCTCCTTACAACCAATTACATGTGTCAATAAAAGGGCCAGGATCTTGCTCTTCAGCAGCATCCTGCATTATGTAGCCTGCTCCACGACTCCCATTTGTCAGTGTGGCGTTGTCCGATGCAACATTTATGCAGAGGAAAAAGTCTAAAATGAGGTGTTTACTGCTGAGAAAACAAGGACTGAAAGTCAGTACTGGCTGGGGGTGGATTCCAATGAACACTTCAGGTTCTTAGTTGGAAAGTCTAGAGGACTATACTCAAGAAAGAAGGGTGAACTAAAAATACAGAGGGTCTTATGAAAAATTTTTATCAAAAAACACTCAGCTCAACAGCAGACTGGATAAGGGTAAGTGGCCCATATGTCCTCCCTAAATAGCAAAGAAAATAGTAAACCCCTGTTAGGGGGAAAGGATGTTCTGAGCTAATCCCATACAGGCTTTGTGGACTCCACCCCCACTCCAGACCAAAATCATTAAGACATTGGGAAAGACAAATCCCGTCACCACCAAAGGGAAGGTGGCTGGGACCTGAGGGTGGAGTTAAGCAGCCAGGTTGGGTATAAAAACCAAACACGTGGGCCTTGGGGTGGCTTGCTGTCTCGCTCTGTTGCTCGCCTCCTGGCTTCAGGGCTCCTGGCTTGCGGCCAGCTCTCAGAGTGCCATTTGGGATTCCAGATCCGCAGATAGGGTAGGACGCATTTAAAACTTTGTCTCCCACTTTTCTCCCTGAGCTGCACATTTTCTCATTTCCCCTTCCCTTGTAAATAAACCTTTTATTAACCTTTCACGTGTGCCTGCAGTAGAGTATTGATAAGTCCTTTAAAGCGCGCAGGTGAGGACCCACAGTCAGGCACCCCGTTTTGTATCGGGGCTGCCCTATAACACTCCCTCTGGAAGAGTGTAATCTGGAGGTTCCACAATTTTTTTTAAATATTTATTTATTTATTTATACAAGAACTGGGGTACAGGCCAGATGCGTGGGAGGGTGAGAGGATTCACCAGAGACAGAGCAGGAAGCAGAACAGGCAGACTGACGAAATACACTGCTAAGGGGAGCAGCAGGCGAGACAGGAGAGGTCTGCCATACCACGTGGGACCCTCACCGGCTGGCCAGGATCGAACGGGTGCTGCAGAGGCTGCAAACAGCTTCACAGCACTGTGCTCAACCGCCTGCACCACCAGGGGAGGTCTGTCA